ATCATAAACTCGTTCTTTGAATTAAAATGTCAGCTGGGGCTGTAGAGCCTGGGATGTGGAAAGGAGGAAGAGTGTGGAGTAATGGATGACTTTTTGCCTTCCTGGTAGGAGATGTAGTTGTGATTTGTCTTCCACATAGCTGCAGAAGTAATTCTCCTGGTCTGCACAGCCCTGAAAAGATAGATAACTATGACAATGAATGATCACTATACACCTTGAAATGAGAGAGCACATTTGCTTCAGTATCCATAGTGATTAGTTCTGATCGCCACACTCTTTTATCTTTATCTGTCCTCTTGTTCACAAGGATTTTGCAGCATCCACACTAAGATTGGTTGGACCCAAACAGCTTTGTGTTCTGGAGTCCTTTATCCTTACATTGGCCCTGGTGGAAGCTAGTAGTACAGTCAGCTCTCATAGGGAGGAAACATTCTGGGGTGGGCAGTAGAGTACATGGTTGTACCTGCAGGAATGTTCATCAGTGTCGATGCTTCTTACAGTTGAGTTTCTCAGTGCTGGTAGAGTACCCCTGTGGTAACATAATAAGCTCTGCGTGTATTTGTTTTTTGTTCTTTTTCCTATGATGTTAATCAAAGAGTGATTGTGATGATAACTAATTAGTGAGCTTCATTATTAACAGTTCCCATTTGAGACTTGCACAAGATAATCCTAAGTGGTTAACTAATAGGTTTACTCTATTCACATTTCCCTGTGCTGTTTTGTGTGCTGTGATGTTTGCCTCTCACCAGTCCTTTCTAGCTTCATACCTACTGTGTGGGAATTTTCAGTGGAAAAATCATAGGATCTACTTCGCTAACATCTAGTGCATTCTAACAGCCTAAAACCCTGTTCTTGAACTCATAGAACTTTGATTTCTGTAAATCCTGCCCTTCTAGCATCCAGATGGTCTGCCTAAGTAGTGTTCTCTTGGACAAACTCTGGCCTGTGTATGCTACATATGAATTCTAGTTCGCCTTCTCCCCCACTCTCCCACCCAATTTCTCCACTCCCCCAAACCTGATAATTCATTGTACTAAATTATTTTAAACATGTATTTATATACACAGCAAGGTACTTTGTAGAGATGAGTTGCAGCTAACTGCCGAAGGGGATTTCATATAGCCACAGACAAATTTACCCACATTTGAGGTTTGGCCTGAGAAGCCAGAAGTAGGGTCAGAGTGGGGGTGTATAATTAATGTGTCTTTACAGCTTTTGCCTCTCTAAGGATCATCCTATCTTTCTTAAGGGTCCTTTAACACCCTTTTCCTCTAAGTTTGAGGTATAGCTATTCATACCCTTTAAAACGAAGTCACCCCAGACACATTTGTTGCATCATTACTTTCTCAATTTCAAGGTGCATTGAGGAGGCAGAAACATTTCTTAAAGAGATGCCATCCCACAATAGCAGGTTAAATATAGCTAATGCAACCTTAAATTAGCTTTTCTAAAAGTACAGAAAAATACTTACGTGTGTTTTGTTGTGGAGCACAGGTAATGTAAAAACTACCAGTGCAACAAAAAAAAAGACTTCTCTGCTCAGAAATACAGTTGCTTTTTGATTATTTACACCAGTAGAGGGGAATATTGGTATAGATAGCAGAAAACCATAGCTAATTTATCTACTTGGATTCTCAAAGTCTTGAGCCAAGGTAGTGCCAGACAACTATGGCAAATAGATTCCCAGACCTTGTATAAATAAGCCATGCCATAAGAAACCTGGGGTTAAGAGTCTCTGCATATAGATATCTCTAAGCAGGAATATTTGATGTTACCTTGAAAAATGGCATTCTGTGTAATGAGTCCCAGTGTTGTTATCTCTTTCAGTCTAAGACCTTTAATCTTTATTTTTAAAAAAACATTTAGTTGTTAAAAATTTCTAAAGAAATTTTAAACTTCATTAAATCTCAGTGAGTCCTCCTTCAGGATTTTTGGAGGAGAATTAAAAGTCATATTAATGACATCTTTTTTTTTTTTTTTAATTTTGGCCACATGGACTGGAGACATCTTTTCACTTTATCTTTCTTTAGGTTTCACCTGGCATCTTCAACTTCTTAGTTGGGCCCTAAACTTTTCTCTGTTATACTTTGTTCCTCATAAACAGGTTTTCTCTTATTTACCTTTTATTTACTTTTATTAATCCTAGAAATGTGTGAAGAGACTGAAGCACATTGCTATACCTGCACAAGCTCTTTGGAAGGCAAATTGCTTAACCATGTTCAGTCAATTTCATACCTTCAGTCTAATGCTCTCCAAACTGAGGTATTTTGGCCAGCTCTTTGTTCTGTTTTATAATGATTTAATCAGAATTTCTCAAATAAATAATTTTCATAACTGTAATAGCAGGGAATGATTTATAGCTACATCACATGAGGAAACTAGCCAATCTTCCCTACCTATCTTTTCATTTAATCCACTTAAACAAATATTAAAGGCCTCAAGAATTTTTATATCGAAAGGGAATATGCCCAGCAAAGAAATACTTGAGATGACAAAGAAAGACACACACCATTCTGTGGCTATAAGTGAGATTTGAAAGAACTGACATCTTTTGATTATTACATTCAATTTAATTGACTTTGTAAGAACTTTTCATTCTTAAAATTCTGTCAACTTGGATGAATTGTCCATCTTTTTTCTTAAGGAATAGTCCGTGGACATGTCATCTTATCCAAGCCTTTGGAACACTTGCTCAAGAAGATGGAGAGTTCCATGTCTTACCTTGTAATTTTGTGTCTGTAAATAAACATGACCAGTTCTGATAGGCTTTTAAAATTTGCTCTCATGCCTTCAGTTCTCACAGTTAGCTTTCACTTTTAATCTTTGCATGCCCTTCTATCTTCCTATATGTCATTTCTGGAATAGGGCTGTTGAGTTGTGGGATGAGACTTAGGAGGAATCAGGAACATATACTCATTTTTATTACATGAATAGCAATAAGGTCCCTGTGATTCTCCTTGATTGTTCTCAGTCTGAGTAGGTCTCTTGATAAAGTAGGTAATAATTTAGCAAAAGGGGAAGAGTCTGCTGTGACTTCCTTGTTAGTATTAGTATTAAAGGCATGCCTCTGTGTGTATATGTATGCTTTTGTTGTTCTCATAACCTTTTTTTTTCCTTCAGATAAATACATCAAAAAGACAGTTATGAGCAAAAGTCTATTTCTAAAAAATATAGATTACTCCAGTCATGAGGAAAAAGACCTTCTCTCCAGAGACATTAGGTTACTTCATGATTTACGATAATCAATTTGATAATTGTTGTTGACTTACTGGTTCAGCTCATGAATAATGTCCCAGATTTAGACTAGTATGGCAAAAGGATTTTAATCAGGTAGTGCTTTCTTTCCCATGGAACATTTGTCTTGCTTGACTGTTCTGGACTTCAGCCAACTGCCAGAAAGGCATTTTTCCTGCTGCATATGTATAGTAGAGTATATGTTGCTTAAGTGTTCTGTCAGGGAGTTTCCAACCCACTTTAGCTCATTGTTACCATATCTTTTACCAATGTGCCTTTAGAGACACTGAGAATCTGTCTGAGGGAAGGATGAATGTCATTACTATAAATACTGTTTTCATCCCAGCCTATCTCACTGCTTCTAAATGAGAGGACCCCCTTTGGCTGCTTCAAAAACTCTCAAATACGGGATGGCTTGTTAAGTTTTCATTATCTAATGTGTATTAATTTAGATACAATAGCTCTATTGCTAGGAGAAAAGTCGGAAAGGAAGAGCTTGGCTGAGTGCAGACTGCTTGTGTTACAGAAGTCAGGAAAGTGTGTAGAACTTGCTGTCCTCAGAGGGAGTTTACAGTTTTCCTGGCTGGGCTGAAACCCTCTGAAATTCTGACATCCAGTGACTATTCCCCCAGCATATGCGATGAGATATTTTGATGCTTGCTTACTCTGTCATCTGTTTAATTAGCTTCAGAGACTGAAAGGATTTGAAGTCCGTTAGCCCTTATGTGGCTGACAGCTCTGAGGTTCAAAATGTTCACAATTTGGTACTCTTGAGGGTAGAATTCATGGACTTGTGTTGATGTGTAAAAGAAGTTTAAAAACTGCTACACTGTTTTATGTGTTTTTATTATTTCTATAATTTTTTTTGCTGCCATGACGTGCTATTTGTCTCCATGGAGCACGTCCTGGTGGTCTAGGTTTCCCTGGGTACACACAGTAGGCCCCAGGTACTGTCTCCTCCCCGAAGTGTACGTAGAGCAGGAGTCGCCGTACTAGTGGCCAAGAGGTCTGGGCTCTTCTCAAGGTTAAGAAACAGCAAGGTCCAAACCTTTTCTTTTTTTTTTTTTTTTTCAATTTTTATTGAATCATAATTGATTATACATATTTTGGGGGTTCAATGTTGACATATGTTGATCAAATCAATATTAGTAGCATATATATTGTTACAAATTGTCCTTATTTCTTTATGCCCTTTGTTTGATCTCTCCCTATCCCCCTCTCTGACACCCCCAAATCTTATATAATGTATTTAAGATTGAAGATGAACTACTTTTGGTTTTTGGAAAGGGTTTTAGGAGCTGTATGACACAGCCTGGGCATTACTTTATTTATTTATTTTTAATGAAAATCAAAGGTTAAATTAACCTCCATAAAGGTTCGTATCTTCTGACTCCAATTTTATGTTAAGAGGAAGATGAGTTCTTCTTCCTGTCCCAGAGAAGGGGTGAAATTCTCATTTTCCAAGCACCCTTCCAACTCGTATACCTTCTGAATGCTTTCCTAACTTCTGAATGCTTAGTCACTGAACAAAGGGAGGCATCGAGTCAATGAGGATGTTCTGGAAAGCATTGGTTAATTGTACTTCTTCTATTGAAGTCACGTGAACAACATATCTATGTCATGGTTTCAGAAATGTCTAATTTGATAGGGTTATTTGTTTAGCTCCCTGTGGTCTGCCAGACTTTTTGCCCTAGACCAGAGAGAAAAGAAACATTTACTTGGGTTTCATTATTTTCCAATGATTATTTTCTCCTTTTCTCCATCAGGATACCCAAAAAGCAAAGCAATTCCTGCCCTTTCTTCAGCGGGCGGGTCGTTCTGAAGCTGTGGTGGAATACGTCTTCAGTGGTTCTCGTCTCAAACTCTATTTGCCAAAGGAAACTTGCCTTATCACCTTCTTGCTTGCAGGTAAGTCTTTGTGTCTTATGTTACTCTGAACATTGTTCCTGGAGCTCAGAAGTCATCCCTGGATGTCACATGCCCTCTTTTCTTTCCCTTGTGTTTTATATAGGCCTAAATGCTTTCATCTCTAATTGAGATATGAACATGGAATTTCTAGATTGATCCCCCGTCACTGGATATCTAGCACTGTACCCTCTTCCTATTCCTCATTTCCACCAAGCACAGGGCATAGGAATAGAATGGCTTAAAAGACAGCTTATAACCTCATACAGCTCGAGTGAAGAAAATTCCAGACCTAGAAAAATATTAATGATGGAATTCTCACAGTTGGTATTTCCCACTTGAATTAGACTGCCCCTTCCACATTAGTCATGGGCAGGGTTCAGAGGAGCTGAGACACCCTGCCCTCGTAGATCTCCAGGCAGTCCCATCTGTCTCTCTTTTATGTTCTTCAAATGTCATTAGGATTCCAGTCCTTTAGGAAACTCCAGCCAGGGCCTTACTTTCCCAGGCTTCTGCATTTATAGTATTTCCGGTTGCACTGAAGTGGGCGTGCTAGGGCAAGCCTTCCTCCTTTCTTTGCTGGCTGAATGTGCGTCTCTCTTATACCTGCCTTTTCTAGTAGCTTAATGTTCTACAAGCCAGCAAGACCACATATGAACTATGCTCTTTGAGCAATCTACATTTATACATTCAAGGAGCAAACTGCTTCATTTCTTTGCTGCTGGCAAATAATAAAGTTATTTCCAGTGAGTACTTGGCAGGGACTGTGGTCTTTGCAGTCTTTGCTGTTATTTTACTTCCATACCCCCAGCCCACCCAGCATGCATTCACTTGCAAAGGACGTATTCCGTTGTGTTCCCCAGATGCATGTTCGCTTTCTGCTGCTATCCTTTGCCTCAGCACTTCTGTTGAATTCTCAAATAGAATTTGCTATGAGGGAAGAGAAACGGGAGCTGTTCTTGCTGTCCCCTCCCAGATTGCCTCAGCCTCTTTTTCCTAGAAACCCCCTTTAGTTCCTTGTCTGGATAAGGGTCTCCCTCAGGCCCCAACTAAATGACTGAGTTATGTGCGATAAATCGCCCCTTGAACACCTGACCGGGAAGCTCACTGTGGCTGCTTGGTTGTCACTTCTCGTTGAGGCTCTCTCGCACACTCTCACAAGCTCAGTGATCACTACACAGCTCTGCAGGCTTTCTGAAGAGACCAGCTTAAGGATGACACCAAACTCAGGGTCAGCTATAGGAAAGAAGGGCCACAACTAACCTACACCTTACTGGAGGGCTACACATTGGTGCCTGCAAATGTGAGTTGTGATATACTGAGGGGTGGCATCGCAGTGTGGGAGAGTCCTTTCATGGAGCCATTTACACCCTTTGCTTAAAGCTTCCATACCTGAGGAGTTTCATAGCAGTGAATTCTTGTTGTTACAGAGTTTGAGGTTTATATTCATTCCTCCTCTGCTCCACACCTGAAAAACAAAAGCATCCTTTTGGCAGTGTAGAGCTTTATCCCAGAGGTGAAAAAGAGAAAAAGTAGTATTGTTGCTGGGAAACTTGGCCACAGATCTATAGGGGAAAAAACAGTGAAATTTTGGCTTCCGAACTCAAAACAACCTGAATGGAGCCAGCTCAGAGTATAAACCTATCTTGGCTGGAGTTTTCCTGTGAAATCCTTATAGTTTTACCTTGCTTAGACACGAGCAATCTGATCACTCGACTCTGCATCAGCCAGTTCCCCTGTGTACTTGGCATTATTCTAAGCTTAGCAATTCAAAAGGCATCACCTGAGTTAACTTACATTCTGAAAGATAGATTACACAGTAGCAAACACATCATAAAAATATAAGCTTTTACATTTTTCTGCTGCCATAGTACATGCTGTTACATTATACATACTTTGGTTTCTTTAGAAACGTGTCAAGGATATAGGACTTTTAAGAGAAAGCAGATCTCTGAATCCTGGCTCTACCATGCACAAGCAGGTGACTTTATAGAGGTTATTTATCCTCTTCAAGCCTCAGATTACACATTAGTTATAACTGGAGATGGTTTTCTGCCTCTTAGGATTGTTGGGAGGGCTTAATGAGATGAATCTAGAACAAGACTTCCATAAAGCAGATAATGGATTTACTTCCCCTCACAAGCAGTGTTTTTATAACTAGGTCTTACCTTAACTCTCACTTAGAAGGGCATGGTTGTGCAGCATGTGTGTACATAGCTATGGCTCTTCCATGGAGATTTGAACCTATGCATTATGGAAATAAAGGAGCTGTGCCAGCCTTCTCGTAACTAAGTAAAAAGCTCCCTGAAAGGATGGCTCCTGGATTTTCCTCTGAGACTGTGGAGCAAGGAACTCTGCATTGTCCTAAAACCTTGTCACAAAGAATTCTAAGGTAAGACATGGTCCTAAGTCTCAGGAAACTCTTGAGGGAATACAGACAAGTAGAAAAACTGTAGTGTTGGGCACTAGATGAGACAATAGAGCTATGGACAAGGTACAGAAATAGCACTGAGGAGAGAATGAGAAGTTCTTTAGGTGGAGGTTGGGGAATGCCTCCCTGAGGAGCTGGTGGCTGAGCTGTGGTTTGAAGGGTAAATAAGAGTTTGTTTTGCATGGGAAGGGGAGTAGGTGGAGAGGCACATTCTAGGTAGAGACAACAGCCTGTGCAGAGGTGTAGGGGTATGAAAGTCTGCACGCCTCTGGGCAACCACACACCCTTTGTTATTGCAGGAGTACGATGACTGAGGAGGGTGGGGGTGGAAGGAAGTTGCAAACTCAGGCAGGAGTTACTCTTCCTCCTTTGGATTACACTGTAATCCCTGAAAGGTATTAAACAAGGAAGTGATGTGCTCAGACTTGGGTTAAGTTCACCTTGGTGGATACATTGGAATACATGAGGCAAGAGTCTGGGAGAGCAGTTAAGAGGCAAAAGTGTAGAGGCCTGAAATCTGGCAGTGGAGAAAAGTGGAAGGTTTGGGAAAGTATTGAGGAGGTAGACTTGACAGGATTCAGGGAATGACTGGGCTTTTTGGCGGTCAGGGATAGGGGATGATGTTGCATGTAGAGGAGAAAGTGAAGTGTCCTAGTCTTGAGCAGTCAAGTGGATCGTGATGTCCACAATCAAGGGTGACAAAAGGAAGAATCAGTTTTAGGAAGAGATCATTACTAGGCCGGCCTGTGGCTCACTCGGTAGAGTGCGGTGCTGATAATACCAAGGCCACGGGTTCGGATCCTATATAGGGATGGCCAGTTTGCTCACTGGCTGAGCGTGGTGCTGACAACACCAAGCCAAGGGTTGAGATCCCCTTACCGGTCATCTTTAAAAAAAAAAAAAAAGGAACAGATCATTAGTTTGGTTTTGAACATGTGAGTCATCAACATACAGGCAATAGTTAAAACTCTTTCTGTGCCTAGAGGACAGGTTTGCAAGAAGTAAACACCCTGGAAAACAACAACCTGTGAGGAGTGGGCTCAGGATTCATACAAGGGTGGAGAAGACATGGTCAGGATTAGAAGGAGAGTGGTCTTCTGGAAGCCAAGGGAGCAAAAAATTTTGAGGGGTCAGCAATATCAGATTTTTACATAATAGATGAAGTATGTAAAAACTATAAAGTGCTTTCATAGTGTTTATCAGTTAGTCACAGGTGATCTTTGTTGATATAATCTCATCAGAGTTAAGTCAACTAAAGGCACGTGATTGGGGAGTAAAGGTAGAATGTAAGGAACAGACTTATTGAATACATTTTACTCTTCCAGCAGAGAGTGGAAAAGTAGAGCAGAAAAGTGAAAGCTAAAGGGTCAAGGTAACATTCTAAGGATGTCAGCATCACAAGACTTTTAGAACTATAATTCCTATTTGAGAATCAAGAAGGTGACATGTATAGTTGGAAAAGCTATTCAGCATATCTGTTGTTTTCATCATACCAGTTATAAATGTAAAACTCAACAAAATCTTCTTGGCAAATGAGGATATAAGAAAAATGGAGCGAGGGAATATCATAGGGAACATGAGACTTAAAATGTTGGGAAGCATTGGTTTGAATTCTGAGGAGATGGAACTAAGAAAGGCTTCAAGGAGGGCTGGCCCGTGGCTCACTCGGTAGAGTGCGTTGCTGATAACACCAAGGCCACGGGTTCGGATCCTCTATAGGGATGGCCGGTTGGCTCACTGGCTGAGCGTGGTGCTGATAACACCAAGCCAAGGGTTGAGATCTCTTTACTTGTCATCTTTAAAAAAAAAAGAAAGGCTTCAAAGGGAAATTAATAGAGTGCTGACATAGAGGAGATGGAATGAGTGAGATGATTGGAGAACCTGGGTAGAGGAGTATGCCAAGAGAGAAGGCCCCTTGGTGCTCTGAGACAGCTACAAAGTTGAAAGTGAGTGTAGGCATAGACACAATATGCGTGTTCTGGGATTGTTCACCTGGACAGTGACTCCTGTGGTATAGCTTTGCAGGTATCTGTGGTATGCCTTCCTCTTCACCATGTAAACATGGCATTCTGCTTGGAAGTGATGTCTCTTTGCAGCAAGGAGGGAGTTTGGGTTGTGATTCTCAAGGGGAAAGTCAAGATAATTGTTGAGAGCAGTCCCTCATGTGCTGCTCTCATTAATCCCAGCCTTTTGGGGAGCTTTTGTACTTCAAGGTGGGATGGACACTTTCCATTTTTACGTGGCCTTTTTTTGGGCAGACGGCCCCACAGCTTGATAGGGAGTGGCATTTGGCCCGAGCCAGCTGGCCATTCTGTCACGGTTCCTGCACCCCTGTATGTGGAGTGATTGCTTGGTCATATGGGATAGCAGGTGGGGCTGGGGAAAGTCAGCTGTAGCTAACAGGTCAGTGCCTCCTGAAAGCTCTTGTCCCTTAGTCCTTTGAGCACCTGGCTTAGGTTTGGTCGGTGATCAGGTGACCTTACACCATCAGGACTGAGACTGTTCAAGGTCTCTCTGCCTGCTGCTGTGGCCTCCTCCTACGCATACTTATTTCAGTCTTGGAGGCAGTCAC